TTCTCACAGCAGCCAGTATAAACAGAGCAATCATAAACTGAAAAACTATGGTAAGAAGTGTAATAATGATTGGATAAAGTGGAGTGTTACAGTTATTGGTGCATTTTGTTCCTAAGAATGTTAGATTGTAACCAATTCTGCATCTTGAACATCTTCTACCACTACGATTGGTAGAACACTGATCATCTGGGGACTGAGGTAATGCTATCACTTGTTGTCCATAATATTGTTGACAAATTTGTGTCTCAGGAGTCTCTCGTAAATGACGTGAGTCGCATAATGGGTAGGAACATTTAACAGCAATACTACCATCAGTCCAATAACCATTCTTTATACAGGCAACACCTGAATCTAATGGACACATTGTTTTGTTTTTGATTTGGTGACACTCACAAACTTTACTAATGGAATTTTCATTAAATCCAAGTGGACAGGAGCTGTTCCATGCAAAATCTAGCTTTATTGCATCCATTGGTGGATCACTACAAGAAATATATAGCCACGGACGGGTTGTTTCATTAATGTTAAAATGAGCACCAAACTGGGCACCAAAACGAAGCAAAGTATTTACTGTTTTATCTCTGCCAAACAAGAAAATATCCTTAGGTCCTATAAGCTGCAAGCCAAGATTAGGATAAAGTCGCTCACAAAAACCAGTCTCTCCAGTGTCTGTTTTTTTACATTTAAGAGAAACTTTAGCTATGCAGGTACCAGGATTGCCTAACCCATCAACAAGAGACACACTTAAAAATATATACTGACCCGGAAAAAAAGAATGTTTTTGATTTATTGTTGCAGTAAAGTGCTTTGGAGCAGTGACGATTTGTTTCGTCGCTTCAAAACAGTTTTTAAATAAATTGATATTGATATTAGTGTCAGTGGTATAAATGGAATGACCAGCAACGCGAGCATGATTGTTAGTAAAAGTGATACTACCATTACATATCAATGCAGTGTTGAAGTGAGTAGTGTTGATATACATAGCACCACCATAAAAAGCATTGTTATTGTTAAAGGTCAAGGTTGATCCCTTTGTTATTGTAAGATTACTTCCATTCATAGCCAAACCACCACCATGATCGCCTTCATTGTAATAGAAAGTATTTTTACCATTGAAAACAGCATTTACCATGTCAAGATTGAACATTGTAGCAACTACATTGTCACTGCCGGTTAAGTTCAAATTTTCAGCAACAAGATTGACTGATCGAAAGTAAAATATAGATCTCATCGTATCCAATAAGTAAGGATCACTATTAGCTTCAGGTCCACCGACTGTATATGTCAAATTGTTCAGAGTCACATTATTTTCAAATAGTTTACTTTGACTATTAAAAGATATTAAGTATTCAACACTGCTCATTTCATACTTTATATTATTATAAAAAGAGCAATCAACCAATGTGTGATTACTAGCAGCATTATTTGAAGAATATGTAGTCAATAAAGTTCCAATATTTTTGGTAAAATTCAACTGCTTGTAATTTAAAGTGACATAATCGTGGTTAATGTTCACATGAACCAAACCATAGTCAGGTAAACGATTTTTATTATTAATAAATGAATTATTAATAAATGTAATAATAACTTCATTATTAGTCTGATGTGACCAGACTGCTTCATTATGAAACCGTGCAGATGTTTCAATCACAACCGAAAGACCCTTGTTATAAGTAAAGAAGGAATTTTCAATCGTAAACTGAACACTTAAATTGGTGGAATTTAGCACATATAACATTGGTGAATGATACGAAGAATACTGTAAATCATTATTACCAAAATGGCATTCTTGCAAACTAATCATATAAGTTCTGTTTTGCAAATAAGGAAAACTTACAACGAATATTCCGGACAAACCTTCCTTAACGCTATAGTCATTAACGTCTCGATTTGATTCAAAACGACAATTGAATAAAGTAATAGTACTATCAATCTCATCGTCAGCATCTGATGCAAAGTTATCTGATGTCAAGTTGTTATATGTGATTTGCAAAGCAGCATAGGGATTCGTGTAACAATATATAAAATTAGAATTTCTAATATCCACGTCAATTGCATTTAATATTGAAAGGCCTAACATGTACTGGAATGATGCCTGATTCATATTGACACTATACACACCAGAAATATTTACTCCCATGGCCACACTATTACCACAGCCAAAGAATTCGATATTATCAAAAGTGAGAACTGACTGATTGTTATTATGTGATGAAGTAAATTCTAGTGAACTATAATTGATACAAAAAATTGTATATGTCTTATTCTTATCGGCACTACTTTGTATGCGAACGGTGTTGGATACTTCATATGACTGGCTCCCAAAGAGGCTTTGGTTGTTATGTACAATGAATGTTAGGTTGGACGTGAAAATGCTTTTACAGTTTTTTAATGCAGTCTTGAGATCATAGCACAGAATAGTTCTATGGCCCGTAGCACTAGTATCAAGTGTACAATTGTACTTACTGGGTAGTGGATAAGAAATGATGTGAACTTCAACACTGTCAGCATGAACATAGGCTAGCAGGGCAATCAGTAAAAGAACATGCACGAGGGGAGAAAAAGTCGCCATTTTTTAATACCAAAGTTTCAGCAATCAGCATTCAACGCCCCACAACATGATTTCAGGTCTTTTTGTGGTTTCATGTGTTAACATTGATCGTCCTTCTTTTCTAAGAGTCAACCAGCATATCTTAATATCTAATTAATCAAAAAAATAACTACAAATCAACCAAAAATATAATAATTTATTATTATTCATAAAGCAACATAATAATAATATTATAGTAAAAGAAACAATCACATTTCAATCCTCCTCATCAGCTTGTTCAATACCAATCAGTGGTTCCCGTTCACCTTCATCATCATCCATTATTAATTCTGTCCTCCTAATTGATCTTGAAGGCTGAGACTGACTTGTCCTCCATTGTATACTTCTCAAACGAAAACTACTACTTCTAATCTTAAGCCTATGCTTACATTGTAAACAGAATATACCAATGGTTCCTACCACCACATATAGCAGTGGAATTAATGTCATCATGTGCACCAGTACAGCATAAAACATCTTTGTATCCTCCAATTCTTCCTCTCTCTCAAGAAGAGAGTACAATGCTAAAAGATCAAGGAGGAGAAGCATGTCAATGATGTTGAGGATATGCTTTTTGTATGGTTGTACAACAAAGTGAAGAGACAGCAATAGAATTAGGAGCAATTGTGAGCCTAAAGGA